TGTCTCTGAAAGGGGGGTCGTTAGAGGGAATGGTTGGCCTGGCTGACCTGGGAAACCAGCCTCCCAAAGTGGAACCAGAAGCAGAGAGCCATGTTTCTGTCAGACCGTTTTAAAGAGACACAGACCAAGAGGTGACGTTTTTATTCAACACTGAAGGTTCATGCATGGAAAAGCAGACAGAGAACAAGACAGGAGCTCACTGAGGCGGTCTGAGGAGGCTGCTGGGTCCAAACTCCTGCTCCCCATCAGCTCCATCACACTGCTGGAGGTTAAAGTTCTGGTTCTGATCTGTAACCATCTGCACGGTACTGATCCAGTTCATTCCTGTCAGAACCAGAAGCAGCAGCAGTCGGATCAGTCGAGTTTTAACTGAAGTTTCTTCCAGACGGCTTAACCTACAGCTGTCCTGCTCCATACATGTCTGCCCAGCAGGGGGCGCTTCTCACAAAATAATAAAGAGCAGTGCTGGATTGGAACAAAACATCCAGTTCATTAAATCACAATAAATAAGCTCCACCCACTTTCTGCTCAACATGACATCACTGTTGACCCCCCGCTGCTATTACCATAAATCATTGGTCACAACCAAATGAAAGTCTCTGGTGACATCATTGCTCTGCCTCTGATGTCACAGTGACGTCACACCTCCATGGTATCAGGTTTAGGTGTCCTGGAGATCCACAGGTTTGATCGGTCGGTGGGGGTCTTTGTCTGAGAACGACTGGAGAGACAGGATGATGTCATCAACACTCAGTGACCAATCAGAGACGTCCCAGCAGCTCTGAGATCAAAGCCGGTCAGAGCCATGACTGAGCCGTTGTTGCTCTGCCAGCGTCATTCCTGCCGGCGGACGCGGCAGGCGCTGGCAGAGCAACAACGTCTGGTGAAGGTGACGACTGATTGCTGAAACTGTCGAGGTATTTTTTTTACTCTTGATGTTGAACAGGGATAAAAACCCAGGTCCAGGTTGGATCATGGTCTGCTAAGCTAGCTACTGCATGGCGGTGAACTCGTTTGAGCTCAGGACGCTGCTGAAACAGAGACCTTTGAGATGCATTCAATGAGTGTGAGCTGTTTCCTGCTGCAGCAGAAGCCCAGGAGCATGCTGGGAAAGAAAGCTGTCAGTCCTACCTTCTGCTGAGCGTCTGGAAGCAGCACGTTCCAGAGGCCACCAGGATGAGCAGCAACAGCGGGATGGTTGGGATGACCACGTACAGCAGCAGCATTCCTAAAACATATAGACTCTGTGACATCACTGTGACATCACGGCAGAGCAGAAGTCACCTGTGTTCATACCTGAAGGTCCGGCCATGGCCACTTCAGGGGCGACGCTCTCACTGCCTGCAGACTGGTTCACCACACCTCCACCTGCAGTCACAGCTGAGGGCAGAGTAAACACAGAAGATGCAGGAAGATGCAGACCCACAGCTGCAGGTAACCTCCCCCACCACTCACCTGTGCCCCGCCCTGTTGCTTTGTCTTTATGTTCCTTCATTAGGTCGCTGTCTGAAACAAACACATCAGCATGAATCCCTCAACACTGGTTGAATAACCTGGACTTAGACTCTGATTGGCCGGTCTTTCCTGCCATTAGATCCTGATTGGCCGGTCTTTCCTGCCATTAGATCCTGATTGGCCGGTCTCTCCTGGCATTAGATCATGATTGGCCGGTCTCTCCTGGCATTAGCCCCTGATTGGCCGGTCTTTCCTGGCATTAGATCATGATTTGCCAGTCTCTCCTGGCATTAGATCCTGATTGGCCGGTCTCTCCTGGCATTAGATAATGTAATGGCCGGTCTTTCCTGGCATTAGCCCCTGATTGGCCAGTCTCTCCTGGCATTAGCCCCTGATTGGCCAGTCTTTCCTGGCATTAGATAATGATTGGCCAGTCTCTCCTGGCATTAGCCCCTGATTGGCCAGTCTCACCTGGCATTAGCCCCTGATTGGCCAGTCTCTCCTGGCATTAGCCCCTGATTGGCCAGTCTCACCTGGCATTAGATCATGATTGGCCAGTCTCTCCTGGCATTAGCCCCTGATTGGCCAGTCTCACCTGGCATTAGATCATGATTGGCCGGTCTTTCCTGGCATTAGCCCCTGATTGGCCGGTCTCTCCTGGCATTAGCCCCTGATTGGCCAGTCTCACCTGGCATTAGATCATGATTGGCCGGTCTCACCTGGCATTAGATCATGATTGGTCGGTCTTTCCTGGCATTAGATCATGATTGGCCGGTCTCTCCTGGCATTAGATCCTGATTGGCCGGTCTCTCCTGGCATTAGATCATGATTGGCCGGTCACACCTGGCATAAGACCCTGATTGGCCGGTCTTTCGTGGCATTAGATCATGATTGGCCGGTCTTTCCTGGCATTAGCCCCTGATTGGCTTGTCTCACCTGGCATTAGACCCTGATTGGCTGGACTTTCCTGGCATCAGCCCTGATTGGCGGGTTTCTCCTGGCATTAGACCCTGATTGGCCGGTCACACCTGGCATAAGACCCTGAATGGCCGGTCACACCTGGCATCAGCCCTGATTGGCCGGTCACACCTGGCATAAGACCCTGATTGGCCGGTCACACCTGGCATAAGACCCTGAATGGCCGGTCACACCTGGCATCAGCCCTGATTGGCGGGTTTCTCCTGGCATTAGACCCTGATTGGCCGGTCACACCTGGCATAAGACCCTGATTGGCCGGTCACACCTGGCATAAGACCCTGAATGGCCGGTCACACCTGGCCTCAGACCCTGATTGGCCGGTCACACCTGGCATAAGACCCTGATTGGCCGGTCACACCTGGCCTCAGACTCTGATTGTCCGGTCTCACCTGGTCTTAGACCCTGATTGGCGGGTCTCACCTGGTCTTAGACCCTGATTGGCGGGTCTCACCTGGCATTAGACCCTGATTGGCGGGTCTCACCTGGCATTAGACCCTGATTGGCTGGTCTCTCTTGTCATTAGACCCTGATTGGCCGGTCACACCTGGCATAAGACTCTGATTGGCCGGTCACACATGGCCTCAGACCCTGATTGGTCGGTCTCACCTGGCTCATACTTGCATATGAAGTTGTGCTTCATGTTGCAGCGGTCATCATTCCATTGGTATAGATAAGCCCCGCCCAGGCCTTCAGGTGCAGTTGGCTGGTGATACATGACAACACAGGCCTCCCCACCACAGGAGGGCTCATCAAAGTACCAGTTCCTGAAATATCATCACCATGGTAACTATAGTGCAATTCAAAGCAGCTGCTCTAAGCATCAGATTTGATTTATATGAAATGGTTATGATTTATGAATAAATTCTAAAATGTAAAGATGATCATGAGTATAAATCCTTTTAATTACTACATCAAGAGCTGTAAAGGATAACACATTCATGGCCAGAGTTCTTTAAGTTGACCCAACTTACCACAACCAGCAGATACAACTCTCACCTGAAGGTGGCGTCACTGGCATCAGTCCAATGATATAGATCAGGACAGGGAGTCAAGGTGTTGTCGGCTCCACCCACACGAGTCAGGCCAATCCAGAAATCCCCATCAGATATTCCACCTCCTTCTCTGGCTCCTCCCACTGCTCCTGATGAGAGCGCCTGGAGGGGAGGAGAATATCAGGTAAATCCCTTTACTGTCCTGAAGTAGAGAAATATAACTCTGGGACAGGTGTGTCTAATCTGGGACAGGTGTGTCTAAT